AAGATTGGATATGATGTGAAAACAGGGGATGACTATATGAAGTGGAAACATAGTTTGCTGGAAATTTTACCAACAACTTCATCTTGATTTTGAACCCTTTTAATGATGGAATTAGGAATTGTCATAGAAGAGTTATTTGTTCCTTTCTGTGTTAGCTTGACACGCGTTTTTGAATCACTCAATTTGGAATTAGCTATTGAGAGTTATGGCCAAAAGAATACAGACTGCACAGAATCACGTCGCGCGCTCGCGCATGCTGGAAAGCACGTCGCGCTCGCAACTTCCCATTGCGCGCTCGCGACTTATGCTGTGACACTCTTTTGCCTTTCATTTGCCATGTAATTACATTCCTTTGCTCAATCTCTGACTCTCAATTGCACAACTCGCGCTTGCGAGGATCACATGCGCGGTCGCGACTTTGGCCAGAAGCTCTCTGACTCTCAGTGTGCGCATCTCGCGCTTGTGTGATTCGCGACTTGTGTTGCGCGGTCGCGACTTCAGCCAGAAACACACTGACTCTCAGGATGCACAAGTCGCGCTCGGGACTTTCACATACGCGGTCGCGACTTGAGCCAGAAACCCTCTAACTCTCAGTCGCGATTCTCACGCTCGCGATGTTGCAAGGCGCGCTCGCGACTTATGCTGTGACACTCTTTTGCCTTTCATTTGCTATGTAATTACATTCCTTTGCTCAACATGCATATGCATTGCATCCAATCGATTTTTACAACAAAAATACAACATAAAACATGATTTAAAACAGAACATACCCAAGCATTCATATGATGTGAAATCAAATCAACATGTATTAACGATGAAGTTATGGCAACCATTTATGTGTTATGTGTTATATTATTGACATGTACATAATAAGCCCATTGAGGTTAGGTAGGAAACCATTACGATAAGGCTATGTCTCGACATAGAATAGCAGATCTGCGCCACCATTACAGTTGGAACTCGGCTACAAGGCCGTTGAGTGGATATATTATACAGGCCATAGCAGCCAAGCATACAGTATCATACAGTTTACACTTATCACTACGGTTTCACTATAACCTTATGAGCCATTACCGCTATCTTGACATCAACATTACCATGACTTCCTACAAGTATATAATTAGAAAGAAGATCATTCAAGGTAAAATGAACATTATCCATCATACGGGTGATTAGGTTGCCCATCTGTGTTTACAGGTTGGTTCTTGCTATCTTGCTATACGTGTATGTGCTTAATTACTTCTTTCTATGTTGAGATATCCACTGGGCTTGTATAGCTCAGCGAGTTACCTGTTTAACTCGCAGGTTTTTAAGACTGGTCTAGAGAGCGTCAGCTTACAACTGCAACAGTTCACCTGTAGAAGGCACAGTCTTCAGGGTAGCTTCTCATTTTGATGTGTATCTTTTTATATTCCTTTCATGGCATGTACAGGGCACACAGTTGGGCCCAGGTCATTTTGTAAACTAGTATCATGTTATGTATATATTCATTACATTATTAATGTAAACAACTTCTGTATTATAAAATAGTCAGTAACTATTATGACATCAGCATGTCAGAACATTTAGTCAACCAGTTTGTAACGTCTCGACTCGGTTCATTCGGGTTAACGGGTGGGTGGACCGGAGAGGCGGTGTTTACCAACAGATGTATGTAATATATTTATATTTTTCAATACTCTTATGTGGGTTAAGTGATTTGGTTACTGCCTTGATAGCCAATATTCTTGCTAAATTAACGATTCAATTGTAAAAACTCTTTGTTATATTCTAGAAAGTGGTATTTTTATCAAGACGGAGAAATTTTGCAAGCTTGAGTTATATGTTTTAAGTTTTCGAGCTGGTATCTAGTAGAAGTATTTATTAAAGTGTAATTTATTTGAAATGTCGCGTTCTTAAACTTATCATAGAACTTTGATAATGTAATGATATTTGTTATACCTTAAGGCAAAGAATTATGATAATATTCCTGAGAATAGTTGAAGGTATTTTAATTTGTTAAATTATGGTTGATGATGGTTGGTTGATTGGTGATATATTATTGAAGGCAGATGGGTATTTGATTTGATCGATTGCCCGACGGATGGGCTGTGTGGATTGAGTTAATATTGAATGAAATTTTTGATATCTAAACAGGTGGATAATCCAATTTTTAGGGGAAATGATGCCGAAATTTTGGTAGAACCTAGGCTACATATAATTAATAAGTTTATTTAGATTAATTCTATGACTTGATACATAATAATAAATAAAGTGCTCTAATTATTTATTTATTATCATTATCATTCATTTAATTATTTAATTAATTAATTATTTTCATTATTATTGTTCAGTATTATTATTTATTTTATCATTGTTATTTATTGTTTTAATATTATTTATTTATTTATTTGCATTTGAACATGGGTATCTAAGTGTGCTATGGCATCATGATATTTAATTGATTTCAATGCTTGGTTAGCTGTGATGTGAAAATGTTTTGCCATGTTTGTGTGGAGTTGGGATGAAGGGAGTCACTATGGGTTTGTGAGGGCGGTCCACTAGACCGTTGGCCGTATGGGAGATCGGCCCCGTGTGCATCTGATGATATGATATGGATAATACAACTTCTTATTGGGCGCACCTGATAATCTTGATTTTATGGTGGCCCACAAGGTGGCCTCTTGTTGTGTGCGCCGGCGGATCTAAATTTGACGGAGACGACCGGGTTGCCTCCTGTTGGTATGGAAAAGAAAAGAGAGAATAGAAAAACAATGAGAGGGCTGGTCAAGCACAGATTAGACCGGTCGGCCAGATATGGGGGATCGTCTCCCTGGTGCACACGTATGAGAGGGCAAGCCATGTGTGAGGACGGGGTTTTCGGTGACGCCACTGACTAATTTCCACGTGATGTGATTATGTGAAGATGCTAATAATTGTGAGTGTTGGTGGTATGTCATTTGTGTGACTGACTGCGTGAGCATATAACTAGTCGGATGATTAGATTGATATATTTACACATTCGTGTGAATGCATGACATTCGTCGTGGAAATGCATGTGTTGCTGCAATAATTACTATTCATTTTTAAACTTAACATCTACATTGTTTAACCTTCGTCAGGAAATAGATTTTCTCTTGTCCCAGTTAAGCTCCGTTCCCTTCACGGTAGAGCTAGAAAAAGAATCTTTAATTTCATCTGCTAAAAAACTCCGCAAGTTTGTAGATCGTTATGTTTTGCTAGTCCATGTGATAAGATAAGGTATGATAATTTATGTACCCATAAATGTTTTATTTATCTTCCTAAGTTTATGTATTAATGGGAAGTTCATGACATGTTAATGGGAAGTTCATGACATGAATGTAGTCTATTACAAATTGGGCTCGAACTATGTAAGGTATAAGATGTTATATTGGGCCAAAGTATAATATAAATATGGGCTTAATGTTTGAGATTCACATTAATTTAGTTGAATTTGGTAGTCAGGCTTAGTACGGGCCTCGGAGAGCCTTAAGCTTACGTGGGCCCTAGTGTCGGTTTGGCCATGGAAACGGGTCGTGACAATTTATACTTTTGAAGATCCTTTTAATTATATTTTTTTTATGTCCTTTAAGTTGAGAAAATAGATTCCATTTTTCCTTTTGAATACCTTTTTACTTATATTTTAGTATTTTAAGTCGAGAAAATACATATATTTATATTCTCTATTTTATCTTGCAGTATTATTATCCAATGATTTTCATAATTAACAGATTTTGATGTTTTTAATTATAGGTTCTCACGTGATATTGATTTGTAGGAAATGAATTGAAAACTTTAATTCAAATATTGAAAATGAAACTTAAATTCTTTTAATTTATTATGTTCTGAATTTTTTAAAATAGACTATTAAAGTTTGAAGTAATGAAAAATGGCTATTTAGGCGTATTTGCTATCATTTTTATTTTCAGCTTTTATATATTAAAGATGAAATAAAAAGAAAATTCAAGAGTTCTCTTATTCAATATTTTATTCTACATTTTTGAAATTTATTGAATTTCATTTTTCTATGATTTAAAATAATTTTTAAATAGATATAAAGATAATTAGACCTTTGAGATTTTAATTTTTTATAATTTTTTAAAAATAAATATATAGGACTTTGAAAATTTTCAATTTACTGTCATTTATATATATATAAACTTGAGAAAGGATATTTTATTACCAATATTGTTATTTGCACATTAATCCTTATATGGAGCTGAAAACTTTAAATTTATATGGAGCTGAAAACTTTAAATAATTTGTTTTTAAATTTTATGTAAAATACATGGAGTTCAAAATATTACATACTTGTCAAAGTAATTACCTGTATAGAGTTTATTTTATATTTAATATTAAACAGTTGCTTATAAATTGACTTCTTATCAAATTGTATATATATGACTAGTTCAGTAAGCAATAAAGTTAAGTTGTATTTTTCCGAGATCACTTTTGCATTATTAATATTGAAAATTTCAATTTAATTTCACCTGACAAAAATAATTAATGGGAAGATTAAATTTATATTTTATATTGTGGTTACATAGAGCAAGTCTTGATTTATTAGATTGATGTTATAGTATCGCGAAATTATAAAATATTTTAATTATAAAATATTTTGCAGTATGGTAAATACAAAATTTTAGTTATTTTACATAATTAATTAATAACAAAGTTATATTTTTTTATTAAATAAAGCAAAAATATTATTTTCTCTACAATTAGATGTTACATTGTACATGTTAAAAAATATATTCATTATATTTATTTTAATCTAAATAAGAATTTATACTTCAATATTATATAAATAAAAAAATTAAGAGTATATAACGAGAATTTGCAGATAGAGTCAAAGGGTAGCTGTAGTAGTAACCAAATTGAAATTGTATGTTACATATAAGTCATGACGATGACCTCATATTTTCAATCCAAAGCTAATTGGGATTGTTATTAACATCTTATAAATCACTAACTAGCCACAGTTCTCAGTTCTTTGTACCTAAAGATGGATTCAGAAAGAGCTATTAAGCCTCATGTAATCCTAGTCCCATTCCCTGCACAAGGTCATATAAACTCGTTTATGCAATTGGCCAAGCTTTTACACTCAAAAGGTTTCTACATAACCTTTGTTAACACTGAGTTCAATCACAACCGACTAGTTCGATCCAAAGGACAGGAAGCTGTGAAAGGCTTGCCTGATTTTCGCTTCGAAACAATACCTGAAGGATTGCCACCTTCTGATAAAGATGCTACTCAAGATCCTGCGGCTTTGTGCGATTCGATCCGAAAGAATTGCCTGGTTCCTTTTTTGGAGCTATTATTGTCTAAGCTCAATTCTTCTTCTCAAGTGCCTAAAGTTAGCTGCATAATTTCAGATGGTGTCATGAGTTTTTGTATTAAAGCAGGAGAAATGTTAGGCATACCTGCGGTTCAGTTCTGGACAGCCTCAGCCTGTGGTCTTATGGGATATTTGCAATATGGTGAATTTATTAAGAGAGGGATTATTCCATTAATTATTATCATTATTATTATGTCCATTTATTATTTCCCTTCTTCCACTTTTCTTTGTATTTCATGCAATGTTTTTTTGTTCTTATTATGTAGTAAAGAACTGAGAAATATGTTAAATTAGTTTTAAAGGCCAAAAAGAAAACTTAGTTCAATGATAATAAAATAAAGGGATTATTTAATTTATTTTTAAAGGGATTATTGTAATTTATTTTTGAAAATAAATTCCGAATTTATAAATTTCATTAAACGATATAAGGATAACACCAAAATTTTAGGAAATGATGTTTTTAGTGTTTCAGGCTTACTACGGGCCTCGGGGGCCTTAAGCTTACCTGGGCCCTAGTGCCGGTCCGGCCCATGGATTCGGGTCGTGACAATATTATAGCACTCTGAGATATCTATATATCTATAATTTCTATACTATATATAAATGCGGGAATAATAGGATTTCCTATTACTAGCTTTAGTTTAGTTTAAAATTCCTAATAATATCCTTTTAGTTAGATCTTATTTGATTACCTGAAATCAGAATCAGAAAACTGCTTAAAAGCTTCTGCAATTATCTTCAACACTTTCGAAGAGTTTGAACATGAAGTGTTAGCTGCAATTTCAGCCAAGTTTCCTCTCATTTACTCAATAGGCCCACTTACCTTGCTCGAAAGGCGCTTGCCGGAGACCGAACTCAAGTCGTTAAGGCCAAGTCTATGGAAAGAAGACTCAAACTGTCTTGAATGGCTAAATAAAAGAGAGCCCAATTCAGTTGTTTACGTGAATTATGGTTCTGTGACTGTAATGACGGAGCAACACTTAAAAGAATTTGCATGGGGACTAGCAAATAGTAAATACCCATTTTTGTGGATTATCAGACCTGATGTTGTCATGGGAAATTCTGCAATATTACATGAAGACTTTCTTGAAGAGATTGCAGACAGAGGATATTTAGCAACTTGGTGTCCACAAGATCAAGTACTTTCGCACCCATCTATTGCTGTTTTTTTAACTCATTGTGGGTGGAATTCTTCGATGGAAAGTGTTTGCGGAGGCGTGCCTGTGATTTGTTGGCCATTTTTTGCGGAGCAACAAACAAATTGTAGATTTGCTTGTACTAGTTGGGGAATTGGCTTGGAAGTGAATTGGCTTGGAAGTGAATGGAGATGTGAAGAGTTATGAAATTGAGGCTTTGCTTAAGGAAATGATGGAAAATGATAACGGCAAGAAAATGAAACAAAAGGCTTTGGAATGGAAGAGGAAAGCAGAGAAAGCTATTGATGCTGGTGGTTCTTCATACAGTGATTTTGAGAGATTCATGAAGGATTTTCTACATTTTGATTAGTGATATAAGCGGGGTGGGTTTTCTTGGGTACTCAACCCACAAAAACCCATTTAAAACAAGTTTGAATATTAATTAAATGGGTTTGGAATAAGTATGAATATCAAATTAATTATTCACAGTAGATTTGGGCTTCTATCCACCAAGATTTAAAGCTGTTGGTACCTTCTATCTACCAAGATCCATTATATAATTTAAAAATATTAAAAATATTTAATATAATAAATTTAAGTGAAAATTTAAATGCATATTGGGCTTAATATTGTGCTAAAACTTTTATAAATTAAAAACTCTAATATCACCAAAAAAATTAATTACTTCAAAATATTAATCGACTAGAATTTTAGAATTGTATATCACTAATACTTTTCATTTTCTACTCTATTGTTTATTTTCATCTCCGTCTTCCTAGGTTTGACGAACATCAATATAACGCGAGTGGATTTTCGTGGTATCTTACCAATCACAATCCATCACAAGCAAATTCAAGTATTAATTAAATGGGTATAGAACGGTTGCGAGTATTAAAATTTCAAACGGTGTAGATATAGGTATTACAGAAGGAATTTTAAACGAATTTGGAATGAGTGTGGATATTCAAATTTATAAGTCGGTTTGGGTGTGGGTAGTGCAATTTTTACCATACTCGCCCAACTTCCATCCTTAATTTTCATGAGAAGAAATGAAGCAAAAAGGGAAAAAAAATATTTATTACTCCCATTGTCCCAAAAAGATGGTCTACTTTCTATTTTTACACATATTAAGAAATATGATTAAAGGACAATTTTATTCATATAATTTTTTTCCTATTATGTCCATCTTAAATAACACATGAGTAATTATTATATTAGAATAATAACTAAGAAATTAATGAGGGTTATTGAAAATAAGGTAAAATTTTTAATAAGGGTATAGTAAACAATTTAAGGATTAACTATAATGCAAAAAGGGAAAGTAGACTATATTTTGAAACAAACTAAACAGGAAAAATGAATTATCTTTTTAGGACGGAAGAAGTAAAATTTTAAGCTATTTATTGTTTTCCTCAAAATATATCACATTGATGATGGTTCTAGGGTAAAAGTAGACGTAAATGTTAGCGTGGACTTAATTAAAAAGAGAGTGAAATGGAAATAAATGATTTATATTGGACTTAATTAAAAAGAGAGTGAAATGGAAATAAATGATTTATATAGCCAACCCTTGCTAATTTGGGATAAGGTTTAGCTATTAATATTGTTATAGCAAAATAGATACTCCTCTCCCATATCGTTTGTACGGCTAACTTTTGCATAAAGTTTAAGAAGCACAATAATTATAGTGTCACGTCATGCAAAATATTCTTATTTTTCTAAAATTGTTCTCCTTTAAAACAAAATGGTTATTTTTAGAATTTAAAATTAATTATAAAGATGGGCGTAAAAGGAAAAGTAAATATCTCTCAAGTCAATTGGACATATATTTTGAGATATCTAAAAATGAAAATATGGACAAATATTTTGGTATGGAGGGAGTGTTATATTTTGTTCATCTGGTGATAAACAATATTTCTTTAGTTTAGACATTCAAGAAATTTAGAGGTTTTCTTCCAATGCAAAATGATAAGATGGATGAATGACTTTCACATCTTTAATGAAAGTTATATGTTTTCACTTTTATATGAAATTTTTGTTGGGATGTGATTGGAAGTTGAACTTAGTGCAATATGGGATATTCAATAGGTTCCAACACATATATAGTTTAAAAACAGAAAAGTTAATGGGCAAAAAAGCAAAAGTGCATCTAATTGAAAGAGAATATATATTTTATTATAAGACGACATGAGTCAGAAATTAAAGTTAATGGGCATAAAAAAAATTCAAGAGTAAATTCAAGAGTTAAGGAGAGCGAAATTGAAAAAATTTACTATTTTAAAAGGTAAAATAATAAATTTTAATATTTTAAAAAATTCAAGAGTAAATTCAAGAGTTAAGGAGAGCGAAATTGAAAAAATTTACTATTTTAAAAGGTAAAATAATAAATTTTAATATTTTTATAAATGATTATTTTAAAAAGAATGGTTAGGGGGACATACCACCCTTGACGCTTTCCTTCATCATTGGAAGAAACCACTCCTCAAATAGATGTAAATCTATCTATCTATAGTATATGTGAAAGTGGGAATGAGAAAGGAATAATGGAATTTCCGATAATGCTCTTAATGAATTTTAAAATGTTCTAAAATAACCTCATTTGTGACTAATTGAATTTTATTTTAAATATTATGCTAAATAAAATTTTAATTATTTTAATGTTATATAATAAGGCTATACATGAAAATTAAAAATTATTTTATTCACTATATATATTTTTAATTTTATTCAATTTAGGATTTATTCAATTTAGGATATTAAAATTAACATGCTTAGAGCCCAAATGCATAACATAACTTCATATATTAATTATATACATTATTTTGCTCCTCTTTAAACTTAATTAGATAAATAAAATAAATTTATAATCCTATACATCTACATACATCGTGGGACTAGAGGCAAAAAAAATTATGATATCTTCTACAAGTAGCTCTAGTTCTAATTTGAATTTCCTAATATCATCATTTTACATTGGAGAAAATACAGAAGATCCTTCTTTTAGTTCTATTTTTACATGCATTTTAATCGGACAAAAAATAGGATCTCTATTCATACCTTGAATATCCTTAGTAAGCGCTAAAATTTCCTTTTCCTGAAATAAGAAACAAAAAATATAAAAAATACAAATCGTCATTTATTAAAGTAAGTGGCATACCCACATCTCTAGTTGTAAATCTCATATTTACAAACAAGCATTATCCTTACTGATCTTTTCTCTTTCATTCGTTCACGGACCACCGACTTTAATAATCGAAACGACTTTAATTCTTGTGGAATACGATTTAACAAGTGAAGGCGACTTGAGGTTGACATTGATATAGAAACAAAAACTCATTCGGGCACAATTCAAGGGGTCGAAGAGACTTCGATTTTGACTTCGGAGTGAAACGAGCTGATTCTTGGACTTGACCAGAGAGTCTTTGTAGTTTTGAGTTTTGACCAGAGGTTTGAGCGCTTCTTTTCTGTCTTTTCCTCCTCGTATATCATCGATGTGTGTTCCCCGTATTACGAACGAGACGGATTCCTATTATCAAGAGAACTTTGAGAGTCCCCTTGCCAACGTATTATAATTTGCATCTGTCCACTTTGGCAACGGCTCTTCATAGGCTGTTGCTGCATCTTCCTGTTAACTTCATTCTAGACGCCTGACTTCATTCGCCAAAGATCTTCAACTTTACATTGGTTCCGCTTTGACAAATTTTTATCTGGCATTTTACTACATTCATTTATTATGCCCAGTAAAACGATATTTATCCAATAATTTTACTTTAAAAACCATTTAACTAATTTGATTGGTTATTAAAATAAATTATTTTATTTTAACGAACACCAATAATTCAATTGGGCTAAATTAAAATCAATTTAAGTTAATAAAATTACAATTAACTTAATAAAATTTTGCGTTCTGTCTTACAATCCCTTTTACGTTTAAATTTTTTAGCATGTTTAAATTTGAGGAAAATCACTGTATTATGTATATATACTTCTCTATTTGGCATATATAATATTTACCTGCCTCCAATGCATTTTTGCTCAATTAATAGTCTTCTTTATGTTCTTAATCCACTTATGTTTCTCATATTATATTGCTTTTCTATGAGGTAAATCCGAAACCTTAATTACCAACTATCGACGAAATGGGGAAACTTAAATCTATAATTTATTATGTTCTCAATCTTTTTCTTAAAATTATGCATTAACAATAACTTCATTATTTAGACTACTTATTTGTTAATCTACAATGCCAATTTAAATTTTTTTTTCTAAAAAACAATATTATTTAAACTTCAAGAACTATGAAAGTTATCGGCTAAAAAGCAATAACAAAGTTCTATGACAGCAAATCTCAAGATTTGAAAACAAAAAAAGAAAAAAAACAAAGATTTTGGGCTCTAATATACTTGGTGTTGAATTTGATGTGCTGATTCGCCATTTTCTGTATCATGTGTGATTCGATTATTCTGTTATATGAGCATGCTCGGCACTTGATGTCATTCTGATATTAGCTATGATCATATGCTAGGCACGTGGGTGCCTCCTGTATGAGCGGACGTGCTCTATCTGTTTTTGTTAGGCTTTTAAAGCCCCTCTGATTTTGTTGGCTTACATAACCATTCTAATTCTATTTCTGAAATCTTATCTGCTTTATTTTTCTCCTAAGTGTATATGAGCCCATAAGTAAAATATTTAAAGCAAATTAAATTAATAAGATAATATTCATGATATGTGTGCTTGTGAGCTACAATTTATATTTATGATTTTCATGCTTGAAATCTATGGTTTAGGTGGCTTAGGTTTAATGAGATTATATTACATAATCTTAATTTGAGAATATGTGATTATGTTAATAAATGAAACTATATAGTATGTTGATGTGAAATTTAGATTTAAAATGATTAGCATGCTTATAGGTAGAATAAATATCAAAGGTAATGAATCATACTAATCAGTATGTTCGATGGCTGCCAAATTAGCATTTTAAACATGAATATAGCCATGCTTATAGTTAGAATTACAATATCAAACCGCCGTAATGAATATTGATCATGCACTATGATTTGATAATTATAAATGTCTTATTAATATTGTGAGTTTAATATGATACTTATGTGCCTATGCAATCACTTCACTGCGCATGTTTGAAATCCAAATGGTTTTATCTGATTATGAAACTTAATAAAGATTCCATGCTTAAATGTTACAGTTGGCCATCCCAACATTTGCAAGCGTCTGTGATTATGAGCACCACTGCAATTTTTATACTTAACGCCGTGATTGTTTAACTCACACGCAGGTTGCTAGACCATGCCGTTGTTGCTCCGAAGCACCCAGAGGAGTAGGCATAAGAGCACGAAGCAGATCTTTTTGTAGTTAATATAATTCAGTTGTTTGATGTATTTAAGCGATCCTATGGCATGTATAATATAATACCACTTGCCAAATATGTTCATCTTGGGTTTATGTAACTTAAGGGTATGCTTGAAGTATCATTTGTCACTTTTAGGCATTATGTATAAACGAGATACCAATATGGATTTTCATGTTAAAAATATGGATTTATGTAATATCTGGATGTAGAAATTTCTCCTAAGTTAATTATGTATGGATTGGATTTATGAGACTTGTTATATATACATTAATGCCTTAAATTTGATGTTTATTATGGTGATAATGAGGAAATGAATGACTATGAATCTATAGAAGTTGATTTTGCATTGAGTTATTATTGGAGTTTGTTGGATGATTGAGGTTGAATTTGGAGTGTTTTATATTCAAAGTTTTAGTTAAGTTCAATTTTTAAGGGAAACTCTTGCACTTTTTCTATAGGATTCCGAAAATTTTTTTCTATATGTAAAAAAATTTAGAGTTCCTTAGAGGGTGATTTTTAAGCTTACCAAATTAGATTATGTCACCGGAAAAGCATTGAAGTCGCCGGAGAAGAGGAAGCTGTCAAAGGACGCAGCTTCAATTCGCGCTACTGGAGGTTCATTCGGCATGAAGAAAGGCCAGAAACATGACTGGCGGCACGAAGTGAGTTGATTGCCACCTTGCTCTCATCGAGCAGTGGCTGGAAAGTTGATCAGGGAGGGAAGAAAGAATTGCATGTTGTGATCGGGAGAGAGGAGAGCGAGACCGTGAAATGGGGAGAAGAGTTGTTTTGGTGCGGTTTGGTCCAATTGACAAGCTTAAATGAGTTTTTGGTTTGATTTGACAGAAATTTCTAAACTTTCAGTGGTTTGAAATGATTTTGATCGGATCTATAGTTTCCTTCTTGGTTTATGGTCGGTTACTTGATTTCCTTGATTTATTTTTTATAAAGTTTAAAATTTTAGTTATTATAAAATAATATTTTTAGATTCTTGGTAATTAAATTGAAAACTTTTGAATTTTAGAAATAAAATTTTATTTATTATAAAATATATTTTAGATTCTTTGTAATTAAATTGAAAACTTTTGAATTTTAGAAAATTGCGGTTATTTCAAATATCCTTCTGCAATTTTTAATTAAAAATATATTTGGAATTAATTCTACAATAAAAAACCATGATTCCATTCGGATGATCAATAATGTTATCTATTGCATTTCTTACAAACTGCGAAAATGTTATTTTTCGAATATTTATTTTTTTTTATACAATTAAGTAATTAATTTAAATAATATAATTTAAAACCACAAAGTCAACATATTTTTTAAGCTTTGACCCATTACAAAAATTAAAACTACATTTTACAAAAAAAAAAAACAAAAATCAAACATATATACGCGCTAGGCAGTGGCTGCAGCTCACAAGGCCCCAGTATATTAACCACTGGATTGCTAGTGGCCGGTCTAAAAACACCATCCGACCACTTCAGTGCTCCAACAGCGCCAAGCATTGAATAGGCGACGAGGAAATAGCTAATCTGACATCGGATTCAGTTCTCGCTTCAATTCTAATTTTCTACACTTAATCGCTGTCAATTCTGATTTTACCTTTAACGAACAAAAATTTCTTTTGCATTATTCAGTCTTTTATTAGTTCATAAATTTGAATCTTCAACTTTCGACTACAATCGCCTTCATCCCCGACAATCAGTTTGGTGATTCTTCTTTTTTTTTTTCTTTTTTTTTGTAAAAACCACCGGTATTCTCGAACCATTACCAGGAATCAGCTAAATCCAGCCTCGAAGCTTTTTTTTTTTTTTTTTTTTTTTTGTAAAACCACCGGTATTCGAACCTATTACCAGGAATCAGCTAATCCAGCTCGAAGCTTAATCACAATTAAGACTCTTCGCTTCTCTTTGTAGGTGCATTTAGTTGGAATCGAATCTGAAAGTTCTTCTCACATGCCCAGCCTATATTGTTAACTGAGCTACAACCTGTAAGTATCTGTTGGTGAATCTTTTAGATAAGTAAAAATGCAAATCTCAATAAACTAATATTAACTACAACGATTAGCATATTTATATGTTAGCACATGTAGCAAACATTGAGAATATTAATTAATTAATATACATATACATAAAATTTAGTACCAATTATTTAACTAAACTTGGAGCTTACAGGTTCAAAAGGGCTTTTCTCCAATGACATTACCGTGAGGGTGATAATTACAAGTAAAAAAAGTGTCTCCACTTGCACATATAACCCTTGCACAACCAAGCTCCAAGCTTTGCTTCCAAACCATCTGAGTATAATGCAAGCAATCTTTATTTTCAGTACAAGTATTTGTCATATGATTATAGTAACATTTCTCCGCTGCCCATGCGGCCACCGTGTCGCCCGGTTTCCGGTCCTTTCTGCTTCCCCAAAACAGATTTTCACCGTAATGACTATTGGAATGGATGAAAGCGCAGTCTTTCCCTCTTTTGCGCGGCCAAGTCGACGCAAATTTCGCAATCTTGTTGCTCCATTTGAGAGGAGGGAGTCCAAGCTTTGCTCTTTCAATGTTATGGGGTATTAGAAATTGCCCATTTATGCTTTCGCTTGAACTTTTATTAACTAGTAAACGTCTAGACCAGCAAATTTCTTGGACTGGGGCTGAGAAAGAGAGTATTGGCCGGAGAGACAAAAGGAGGAAGGTTCCTATCATCTCCATTGCTTGATGTCTTTGTTGAGGTTCTTTTGTGTGTGTGTGTGTATACATATACATATATATATGTGTTGTGTGCTCTGTATACATATAACATCAGTATATAATTATATATATATCATATCTATATATATACTATATATAATATACTATATAATATATATTATATATATATATATATATATAATTAGCAGAAATAATTTGACATGCTGCTAACATAATTTCAGGCTGGCGCGATATATAATTAGCAGAAATAATTTGATGCTAACATAATTTCAGGTGGAAAACACGTTACTCTTCATGTGAAGGATTAGTGACAGTTTGATGTTGTTAACTAACAAAACGGTTTCCAATTGAAGTTCCAATCATTGACCAATCAATCTTTATCCTTCAATTATAATTTACTCATTATTCAAAAACATAAGTTCACATGTAAACTTTTTTTTTTCACTAAATAAAAAAATTAATTGATATTCTCAACTTGTGCATTGACCTATTAAAACCTTCAACTTATAAAATTATACATGTTGAATCCTTAAACTTATAAGTATTTTATTTGCATGGTTTGACAAAATATTACTTCCGTCCCATTTAGTTTGCATAGTTTGATAAAACACGCATATTAAGAATTTAGTCAATAAAAGTTATTTTGCTCTTTTTTACCCTTAATTTATCTTAATTTTATTAAGATATTTAATAAAAGTTATCTCATTTACATGAACAATCTATAACATTCGATATTATAGGAAAAACCAATCCTTGGTTACATAGCATTTAAATTTAAAACACCTTACATTAAACATCTATAGAATTATCCCAAAAAAAAGAAATAACACAAGCAAACTAAAATAGCGACGAAGCAGTATCTTTACTATGAAAGCAAATAAAATAGGACGGAGAGAGTATTTTACTATACTTCCGTCCCATTTAGTTTGCATAGTTTGATAAAACACGCATATTAAGAATTTAGTCAATAAAAGTTATTTTGCTCTTTTTTACCCTTAATTTATTAAGATATTAATAAAAGTTATTCATTTAATGAACAATTATAAATGATATTATAGGAAAAACAATTGGTTACATAGATAAATTTAAAAACCTTATAAACATTATAGAATATCCAAAAAAGAATAACAAGCAAATAAAATAGGACGGAGAGAGTATTTTACTATGAAAATCACTATGCAATAATTAGTATCAAAAGATACATAAAGTATCACACTTATTCAAATCAAAAGATACATAAAGTATCACACTTATTCAAAGTATATCTAATAATTGAAAATGCGTTAAATAAATCACTATAAAAAATTCGCCATTTTGCGACAGACAAGAAACGGTCGCAAATTACCAACCGATTTGCGACAAACAACAACTAATAATTTTTTCTGCAAAAAATATTTGGAGGGAAGAAATTAGCGATCGATGTGCGATACATTGTGATCGTCTTTGCTAGTGTACGACGACAACGAGAAAGTCAGTTGCAAATTTCAGATGTAAGATTTCCCACCACGAAGGGTGCGACCGACCCATGATCGCTTCTTTTTTTTGGCAAACTCGATCGCAAATTGCAATAAAAAAAATGCCACGTCAAGCAGTTTGCGACTGGAAAAAAACGAAGGATTATAAACTTTGGTCCTCTTCTTCCTCTCTAGATAGACCCTCTCCCTCTCTTTTTTTTTTCTCTCTTGGTCGCCGCTTTATTGCTGTGTTGGTCGCGCTTTATTGGCTGTGGCCGACTCGGCTGTTGGATTCATAAAATTGAAGTATTTAATATATATAACTGTTTTAATTGAAACTTTAATTCGCTAATCTTAAAAGTTAAAAATGTTTCAAACAAAACTAAATTGACAACGATTAGAATAATCAACACTTTTATTTCACATGGATTAAGGAACTTTTGATTTGATGTCAGGAAATTCTTAGGTGGGCCCATGGTAAGTGATAGGACTGGCTGGCTGTTCTCGACTCAAAAACCAGACTTAGATTCTTAGCTACGGAGCGTGCTGTGCGGCACCGTCGGGGCGTGCCAGAGCCTGAGTTCTAAGGAAGGATTCGAGCACGGACCCTGCTTTAGGGGCACAGTCAAGAGAAGAAATCTGTGGCGAAGAATCTGTGGCACGGGCGTGCCACATAGCACGATTAGGGCGTGCTAGGCTCTGAGTCTCCATGATGAAATGCAGCACGGGCCGTGCTTAGGCAAGCACGCCTTTGGGTTGATGTCCTCATTTGGCACAAGCGTGCCATATAGCACGACTTAGGCATGCTAGAGTCTGAGTCTCCACTTGATTTTTTCCTGAATCCAGCACGGGTGTGCCGATGTGCACGGGCAGGGCGTGCTAGAGCATGAGTGTTTTGCTTTATTGTGCTCTTTTCTGTGCCAATTTCTGTGCCAAAACCCTACAAATTTCCTTAAGATAAAGTGAATTATGATTCAAGGAAGCTTTGAATAAAAACAAAAATAAAACTAAATAAAAACTGATTAAAGTAATTAAAAATACGAAAATCCTAATAAAAACTATATTAAAAATAATATAAAAATAACACATATAATCGATGATTAGTGAAAACAAGAAAATCACAAGTATATCCTCTTGTATATAGATTGATAACCCTTGTGCTTACTCTTCTAGCTGCCACAGCAACAATAAGGCGATCATTTTTTGCTATGAAATTAATCAAAAAAAGATTGCATAGTAAAATGGAAGACGGTTTTCTATCTGACTCATTGCTGATTTATATTGACAAAAAAATTACTGTGAAATTTTGTATAGAATCTATCATGAATGATTTCCATGATCTAAAAGAACGTAGTGTTCCTCTTTATTAGATTTTCATTCTCATTTATTAGAATTGGATATTCTTTTCTTCCCTTAATTTTTTTATTGAATTCGAATATTGTTTGGCATCCCTTAAAATTGATAGATATTCTTAATTTATTTTTTTTAGTTATTGCGATTTTTGAAATATTTTTATAATTAATTTTTTTTTACGTTTAGTATTATTTTGACATAATGTATCCATTTAAACTATATATAAATGTCGGAATATGGAAAAATAATGAGATTTTTGATAGCTCCTTAATAAAATTTGAAATATCCTAAAATAACATTAGTCATAGCCAATTAGAAAAATTATATTTTATTAGTTGATTGAATATGTTTATAAAAATAATTTTTTAAATAAAGTTGACTTGCAATATGTTATAAAAATAATTTTTAAAATAAATAACATATACGATAATTAAAGTATTTCAAAATTTTAAGTTTTACTTTTTTCTAAATTTATTTTTTTTAATAATATACTATTAATAATGGGACACTTGAAAAATTCTTTTATATTTATTCATATAAATTATTTTTGATCTATTTTGATTCATTATTTAAATAGAGTTTATTCGGGAGAGAGAATCTTTTTTCTTTATATTTGTATTGATTTTATTAGTATATTTTAAAAAATAAATTTTCTATAAGAATATACATTAACTATTTTATGTAGGAGAGATGATAAAAAGAATAAAAATATTTTTATTAACTATTTTTTCTTGTATGTTTGTATGATTTGATTGGATATAGTATTTTTTTTAAAATAAATTTTTAAAAGAATTTACATAATTAAATTTGGGATGGAAATATTTAAAATTTTTAATTTAAAAATATATCATAATATTTTTTCATATATTTTATCTATATAATTAAAATGTTTTTCTATTAGATGCTCAGTTTTTGAAAAGGTTTTTTCTTATAATAATTTTTATTTTCTTTTTCATTACTGGAATAATTTCTGTAACTACTATCAGTTTTAACATTAGTAAGATATTATTATATCTCTCTTGCAATAAATATAAGACCTCTTGATGATTAAATATTTTTAATTTTTTTGATAATTTTTTCTCTTATATCCTAAATCTGTTTAACTTAAAATAAAATAGTGTTTAGGAAACTAGAAAAAACTAGAACTATATATTTATGTTTTGGGTCACTTTTTGGGTTTCAAGAATTTATGTGTATGTCCATAAATTTCTTTCTCTAATGTACTGGGTAAGTAATACTGCCATTACAGACAAAGTGATTACAATTATTAATTCAAATCATTTTCTCATGTTTTTTCTTTTACCTAGCAGTAAAAAATCATTTATTATTATTTTTTATTATAGTTGTATATAGATATTGACTTGGAGTTAAGAAGAGGGGGTTGGAGATAAGTGATGGCTTTTTTTTCTTTTTCTGCACCTAATAGGGTTTTAAGAATTCACATTTATAAATTAAGATTAAAGGATTAAGTTAGGATTAAAGAAGTAGCATTACAAGTAGTTTGTATGTCAAAGTGTCATATAAATTAGCCACTTTTATTTATTTCAATATAAAAACTTATGCTTTAATATTTAAATTAGCCACTTTTTTATTTTATATGTTCAAATATAAAAACTTATGCTTTAATATATACTTATGCTTTAATATTACATAGATAAAAAACATTAACAAAGTACAAAAAATGAGTATATAACGAGCATAGTCAATGTGCAATGCACGTCATAAAAAAGACTAGTATACTTAAAGGAGAACATCAGTGACCCTCCTTATGAAGGGAGCTGGCTCCGCCCCTGCAAGCATGTTATTATAGTTATGGACTTGGCGACTCATTATCAAGCATTCATGGAAGATACAATTTAACACAATTCTATTATAATTTTACTCCGAATAACATATATTATAATTGCGGAATTACTAACAAATAGATTTAATAAGCACGCATCAATAACATATATTATAATTGCGGAATTACTAACAAATAGATTTAATAAGCACACATCATAAGGAATATAATAGTCCTTATAGTTAGATATTACATCATGCTCAGTGAAGAAGGTGAATAGGGCAGTATTCAACTGGAGGAAAGAAACTGCTTCCTAGGAATGCAACATCGTTAAATACTTGGTAGGGAAATATTCTGCCCTTCAGGTCCTACAACTTCTTGAGCTTGGATTAATCGTGGCCCGTGGTAAC